CAAGTCCCAACACGTTAGGGCGTCCGCAATGGCTAGCTATTTGGCTAGCTAGATGTGACGTGTCAAGGAAAAAGTATGAGAGAGAGTTGTCACTAGCGACGAGCAAATAGCCTATCTATTTCACGTAGCCCAAGAACATATGAGAGGAGCATGTGGGTTCACTAGAACAAGAAGGTATAAAATTGTCATTTCTCTTGTCTCTCACCTCCACGTCATCTAGCTAGCTACGTAGCTAACACCATTGCGGACGCCCTTAAAAGACTCAAATGGCCCAAAAGACAATGACACAGCGCCCTCAATATAGCTCTGGGACAGTCAACTGTTGTTCCATATAGCTCCTGAGGCAATGCCTTCTTTTAGTCTCCATCTGGGTGTCATTTGCTACAAGAATATAAACTGTAGGATACGATACAAATTCGTTTTTACTTGCCGAAATCGTTATGGCCTTTCATAGTTTTGCGATTGGTAGCCAGTCTGCTGGATTCCCACCACTTACAAACGTAGCAAAGAGTTGTTTGCTTGGATGGGGTTAAAATCAACGGTCAAGAAATTTGTTGTCAGCTGCCACATCTGCCGGCCAACAAGCCAAACCTGAGAGTGTCCTTTACCCTGGCTTATTTCAAACTCTTCATATTCCTACCCAAGCATGACACATGGCGTCCCTCGATTTTGATGAGGTACTTCTTAGTAGGTCTGGAGGAAAAAATTGCATTATTGTTGTGTGGTTGACAAATTCTCTAAGTATAGTCATTTTGTGCCACTCAGTCATCCTTATACTGCCTTCAGTGTTGCTAAGCTCTACGTGCAGCACATATACATAGTCCATAGTATGCCTCATTCCATTGTCTCTTATCATGATATTGAGCTTTTAGTAGTTAGTTGTGGACAAGTCCCTTATCAATTTTATCTGGTGTACTGTCCCTTGTTGGCATGTCTTCTCCTTAGCACCCCCAAACCGACTGGTAAACCGAATAGGTTACCAAATGCATGGAAATATTCTTGCAGTGTTTTTTTTTTTGTCAGTGCATGTTCTTTTAATTAAGTGGATTGATTGAAATTATTTGGCTGAAGATTTTGGTACAACACGAGTTGGCACTTTGCTCTGGGATAGTCATTCTATATGGCCATATTAGCGTCGTCATTTTGGTTTTGATGGCTCTACTGCATGTGATCCTGTTGACTTGTCTGACTCGATCGCTACATGAGAAGTCTTGGATCACTCCTGTTATTCATCAACATTTGGCTCGGGCTCATAGTGCTTATGAAACAACTTGACAAAGTTGTTTTTCGATCAGCTTCTCTACCAAACATGCTCGATCTTTGGAAACAGGTTCTCCGTAGAAGTTGTTTTCAGCTTCTCTCACATGCGCGTGTCTCTAAGTGAAGCTGAAAATACTAGCTTCTCCTCCTACCCTTCTCATGGCTATCTACCTTGAAAAATTATTTTACCAAACATTTATGAAAACACCTTTAGCTTCATTGGTGAAGCTAGCTACTTTATGGAACTAAAGCTATCTTACTATTACTAATTGAAGGCCTCAACGGAGGCTCCACGTTGGTCCTCACCAGACGCGCTAGAAAAAAAGATAAAATACTAGAAATTTCCACATTAATTAGAAACATCCAAGCATCAAATCCAAAGACTCAAGTGTCCACGACCATTGGATCTATTGTTTCTCTAGAAAATTACCCACCTTTACCACTATTATAAAAAAAGTAGCCTAAAATATTATTGTTGGGGAGGAAAACACTTTCATTGCGCGGAAAGAGCTATACCTACCGACGTTCACATTTAGTTAGTTATTAATAGAATATATATCTAAAATATCTACTATTTCTATTTCTATTTCTATTTCTCTATTAATATATAAAACATTAGATACGGCACTTTAATAGAATATATATCTAAAATATCTGCTGTTTCTATTAATATATAAAACATTCGGTACAGCCACACATCGTTCAAGGTTGGTTAATAGATTATCTAAAGAAGTTACATAATCATATTTTTTTTAACAAACAAATCCACATACCAAGAAAGAAAGAAAATAATAAATACATATTATTTTTTTCTACCACCGTCCCATGGCTACAGGTCCTAGGGCCTAGGCCGTGGCACCGGCTGGCGGGTGCACCTCCCCTAATCCGGCACTGATGCCGGAATGCACCCGTCGGCATTGTTCCATGGAGAGGAACGGTGGCCTCACAGCTCAAATCAGCCGCATCAGGGCTAGGAGCCAGGACTAAGAAGGACGATAGGAACCAGTAGCAAGGGATCAAGAAAAAAGGCGATGGCTTCACGTCGACATCCTTCTATGGTGAGAAAAAAGACGTGTTGTGTGATGCATGCATCTGCCTGACTTGCACCTGTATACGTCTAGCGAGCAAGCAGGTCATTCACGCATCGATCTGTAATCGGCAAGTATCTGCAAGAGGGGCGGCCATAAGCCCATAAGCACGGGACAAACACTAGCCCCGGTGCGTTCATGTGCTGCGTTCATGGCATCTACATCGACATTTGCACCAGCTGGATAGATCTACAGACTAAAGGTGTGGCCATCTTGCTAGATCCGATAATTACAATTTAATTTCTCTCCTAAGATGTACTGAATTTTGCCATCCCATAACTACTGTTTAGTTTGTCTTCTCCGAGTACTTATTCCATACTGCTTATAGGTGAGATTAGACCAGGGAAAGAATTGTGAAAAATGAAAGCAAGAGTCTTAGATTACTTTGAATCAATAAGTCTTCTTGATATAATAACCCTTATTGACCTTGACTTATAATATTTTTGTTCAATTTAATATAAATTCGTTAGCTTACTTCGAGTTTACATGTTAATGATGCTAGAAAATTAGGAGACCATGATTCATGGAGTTATCGAGAAAGCCTATATGAAAAAACTCAAACCCCCACAAATATTAAAGATAAATAACTAATCCCATAATAATTCTTTTATAACTTATCCGGACCCTTTATGTTTGCATCCAAATTAACCATACGGGCTACCTATATAATTTACACCTAAATTATCCATCTCAACAATTGTAAAAAAAAACACAAACCTATCAAATCTATATGTAAATGCTAATATGCTATTATGAAATAAATTAACATCCATACCAATATTAAGTTAAAACTATGCATAAAGCTATGTTCCACTATGTAGACTAAGGACACATATCATTAACAAATGATATACCAATGACCCTTACGCTTCACTTTAAGTCATATTAATACTCATGATAATAAATTTTGCAAGTTGTTATCGTCTTGAAAAAAGAAAGAATAAACAATTTGATTGGAACATTATATCATATGAATAAAAGTATTATAATTCCAAGTATTATTTGTTCACTAAATCAATATCAATGCAATATAAAAAATTCCACATCTTAAGTGCCATGGTGCAAGCTGAAACAACTATTATGGGTATTCTAAGAACTTAAGGGTAGCCTAGGACCTAAAATTTTTTAATAAAATAAAAAATGAAAAATTTGAATTAGCGATATAGTAAGCATTGGAATTTCAAATTAACACATGACCAAAAGCTGAAAGTTAAAATAGAGATTTTTATGATATTACATAAAGTGATAGGAGTCTATATATTTAAGTCTATGTTTCAACTAAACATGTATCATGCTAGAAAAAAATAATCCTAGAAAATATTATTAATGAAACCGCTAGAAATAAAAAAGATGATCATAAAATTCTTAAAAAGCCTAAAACATTTTACCGTCAAATTGTCCGACTATAATCACCATCGTAAATAATAGTTGTTGTATATGAGAAATTAATCGGCTCAAAACGTTGGAAAAAGAATCAAAATTCAGGTCCATGTCGTCAAAATATAGATTACAACTAAAGTCAACATAGTTTAAGCAAATGTTTCAACTAAATGTATATTGATAAACATAGGTGCTTTCAAAAGAAAAAAACCAATAGATATGGACGGAAAGGACATAAAAATCAATAATTGATATATTATCAAAATTGAATGTAAATTATAGAGTACCTATTATAGCTATTATAGTGAAGAGAGAAAAAATATTTGATATATGTATTTTTTATTAGTTAGTGTCTCTTAAGATTCTAACCCGTGCGAGAGCATGGGTCGGTGAACTAGTATAACAAATGATCCACTAGTGAAAGTGAGATGTATCAAACTTGCCCCCGAAGACTCAGGCTCGCAAGACTCACGCCAAAATATTTTTCAAATGTCGGCGACTGGGTGTATCCGAAGGGCTCCAGGGTTATTTTATTTCCACAAGACATATATACTTGGCCGCCCCAAGCTCTAACCAGAAATTCTTTGGTCCTTTTCAGGTACGTACGTTCTTAGCAAGTTGTGCTGTAACGAGACCAAGCCATCAAATGGTAACTACCAGCTGGCTGATTTTGTGAGACGACGACAGCCGTGTAACTTCTGGTGCAAGGAATATAATAGCACTGTGTCGTCGAAGTCGTCTCAGAGAAACATATCCACACATCATGGGGTCGGTGTGTGTACTAGTATAGTATGTAGATAGCTTAGTATGCGTGCATCCATTTCATATATGCTTACAGCACTTTTTTTTCCTCGAACGCGCAAAGGGTTTGCGCGTCTTTGTCATTAAGAAGAAAAATAGTACGGATTACAACGACACGCCACTGATGATATACTAGGGGAAAAACTGTTATACAATCGGTTCCATCCACCCTATCACAAGGCAATATTAGTTATTACTCTCTAATCAACTACCTAGCCAACACCGCCGTTCAGACGCGGGGGCTCGCGCGGCTTGGGCGACGACCCGATCGCCTCGGGCCCTCTCCCAGCATGAGCACCCGCAAAGCCCCTCTATGTGAGGGGTCGGCGTCCTCGTGAAAGACGCTGTCGTAGGCTTCCTTAGCATCATCCTCTACTTGAGAGATCATTATTATGTCCTTGGAAATAAACCTCAGCTCTCTTCTGAGATCGATCGATCGAGCAAACATTTCCAATAGAGTACACGTATACGATGTCGAGCTGCCGTGCCTCCCTCCTCGCCGTCCTGTGCATCATCCTCTACGACTGTACCCATGTCCCTCGCGCTGGCTGCCTCTCCTTCAACCTCAGCTTCTCTCAACCCGAAAGCCTAGCTGATCTCGATCGGTTGATATACTGCACCGGCGACGCATACCTCACTCTAGACACGCTTGAGCTCACGCGGCGGAGCAGGAGGACCAACGACAGCACCGGCCGGGCCACGTACACGCAGCCAGTGCGGCTATGGGACGCAGCTACCGGCGAGATGGCCAGCTTCACCACTAGCTTCGAGTTCCAGATCACTCTGGACGACGCGAGCACCATCGTCACTCCCGGCGACGGCGGGATGGCCTTCTTGCTCAGCCATCATGTCGGGTCTGGTATACCCCCCGGGAGCTTCGGGGGCAGCTTGGGCCTCCTCCCGTACGCCACCAACGGCACCGGCGACACCACCATGGTCGCCGTCGAGTTCGACACCTGTCGCAACCAGCAGCTATACGGCGACATCAGCGGCAACCACGTGGCCATCGACGTCAACTCCCTCAACTCCACGGCGGTCACCGACACCACCTCGCCGACCAGGAACCTCACGTCCGGTTACAAGATGATGGCAACCGTGAGGTACGAGAATGTTACCAAGTTCCTGGCCGTCGAGCTCACCATCAACGGCGACACGTCCTACTACGTCAACGCCACTGTTGATCTCAAGAGCTACCTTCCCGAGCATGTCGCTATCGGCTTCTCGGCAGCGACTGGCGGTGGTGGCGAGCAGCACCAGATACTGTCATGGTCATTCATATCCACTCTGCAGGAGGAACAGGTAGCACAAGCACCGCCGCCACCGCCACCGCCACCGCCACCGCCGCCGCCGCCGCCGCTTCATCAGTCACCTGAAATCGTCCAGCATCCCAAGACGAGGTCAGTAGGACGAACCCAGATAGCAATCTCCGTGCTAGCGGCTGTGCTAGGAGTATTTCTCTTGGCATGTGCAGCCGTGCTTGTATGGCGGCACAAACGACACAAGAAACCACCAAATGAAGAAACCAGTGACAGCGACTGTGAAGGAGAACAACGACACGGCAGGGCCGAGCTCGAGAGAGGGGTGGCTGCCGGCGGCCCTAGGCGATACGCGTACCGCGAGCTGGCGGCCGCCACCAACAACTTCGCCGAAGATGGCAAGCTCGGCCGCGGTGGCTTCGGAAGCGTCTACAGGGGTAAGCTCGCCGTTGCCGGCGAAGAGCGCCCGGTGGCCATCAAGATGTTCTCATCGGAGTCGTCGGCGCAGGGGAGGAAGGAGTTCGAGGCGGAGGTGAGGATCATCAGCCGTCTCAAGCATCGAAACCTTGTGAGGCTCTTGGGGTGGTGCGACAGTCGTCGCAATGGCCTCCTGCTCGTCTACGAGTTGGTTGCCAAAGGCAGCCTCGACACGCATCTCCACAGCAGCGACGACAGCGAGAGCTTTTTGACGTGGCCAGAAAGGTAAACAACACATTTAACCAACCTTAATAGTTATCATGCATAGATAGAATGATAGACTAGTAATAATAAGCGACATATATACTCCTTCCGTCAAATTGAGATTATCGTTTTGGACTCCGTATCATTTTATTTGACCATTCGTCTTATTCAAAAAAATTTGTACAAATATTATTTACTTTATTATGACTTATTTTATCATCAGAGATACTTTAATAATAATTTATTTATTTTATGATTTGTAAAAAAAAGTTGAATAAAACGAATGGTCAAACACGATACTCTAAAGTCAAAAACGACAATCTCTATGGAACGGATAGAGTAAGTGCTAGAAGATTCATGGATAAACTCAGCATATCATTCCGGGTCAGTGAGTTGCCATAGTGTTGGGGAGTGCAAGACGGTGGCTACTAGACAGAGGTGTTCTGGGTGTCAAAAGAAAATGTTTGGAAGTCGGCTTAGGAAGTTAGAAGTTGCGCATCGGTTGTTTTGGGGGGCCAAGTTGTTATAGCCTGTTGTTGTGCCCCTAGACTGTGAGTAGTCCGTTTAGTTCTTTTCGTCTAACTTGACAGTCTATCAAACCTGGAAAGTTGTTTGCGCCGCCATGTTCGGGACCTTTCCAAAAAGAAAAAAAAAAACTCAGCATATCTGGCCCCATGGTTATTGAAGTTGTTTATATTTGGTTCTCTAATTTGACAAGGTTTATACAAATACGGTACATCCTTCTTAAATTTTGTCTTGCTGTAATACTTTATAGTTACAAAATTACTCTATATGTAATTTTATCCATATTTGTTCTCCTTGCATTGATCCTCCATGTTTACTGATACGTTTTGATGGTCTGTTTACTTGATATGTGTTTAGTTGAAATTTTAGCTTAATTAAGCTACGTGTGTTTGAAATTAAAATATATATATATATATATATATATATGTATATATATATGTATATATATATGCATATATATGTGACGCAATGGTGACACTTAACACCGGTGCTATGTATTTGACTTGTAAATCGAAATGGTCATCACTTCATGCATATATGTATATGATTTGTATAGTGACATGTATGCACGCATATAGTTCATTTTTTCTATATTAGTAATAATGATAGAAGAGAGTATATTGAGAAGATTATAGAAGTATTTAAAAAAACTATAATAACAAGGGTTACTTTATTAGGTTTTTTTAGAGGTGGTTAATTTCTTAGATAAAAATTTAGAATGTTTCTTATATTATTTTTTCATAATAGCATAAATGGTTACTTTGATAAATGGTTGGATGATTATGATTGTTGTGAGAATTTTCATGCTAGCTTTATCTCTTTTTACCAACCACTGATTGATTTATAAGGTACATACACATAGGTACCAGATCATCCTTGGCTTGGGATCAGCGCTGCGGTATCTCCATCAGGACTGGGAGCAGTGTGTGGTGCACGGTGACATCAAACCAAGCAACATCATGCTGGACGAGTCTCTCGGCACCAGGCTTGGCGACTTTGGCCTGGCCCGGCTCGGCGATCACGGCGCACGGTGGCACACCACCAGGGCCGTGATGGGCACGGCGGGGTACATCGACCCAGAGTTCGTCAACACGCTCCACCCGAGCACCTACTCCGACGTCTACAGCTTCGGTGTTGTCCTCCTCGAGATCGTCTCCGGGCGGTGCCCCGTCATCCTGCTAGAAGGCGGCGCGCACTTTGTCCTGGTCAAGTGGATGTGGGGCCTCTATGGCCGGAACGCGATCCTCGACGCGGCGGATGAGCGGCTGAGGTCCGGCGACCAGGCCGACGATAGGTGCATGGAGAGGGTGCTCGTTGTTGGGCTGTGGTGCGCGCATCCTGACCAGAGCGAACGGCCATCCATTGAGCAGGCCATGCACGTCCTGCAGTCGGAGGACGCTAGGCTCCCGACGCTCACACCGCAAATGTACAGAACGGTGTCGGAGTTTGCCGTCACTCGACGTGCTATCGGCGCCTTGTCCGTTCAGAGCTCCTCTTCCACGACCACGGCGACAACCGGTGGCCACTCCAAGATCTCTTCCGAGTCAGCATCCTCTCCCTTGCTTTGAGATTTAAAAGAGTTGGCTTGATTTGCATTCATCACTGTTGTATGGACTGCCTCTGGTCTATGGGCGTCTTTGTGTATTATATATTGACTGTAAAATTACTTTTTTGCACTTTCATTACGGTTATACTTCTGCGCTTTAAAACAATCATCCATTGTGTAGTTCTTCACTTAAAGCAATCATCTTTTGTAAATTGTGTTTTTTACATTCTGAGCCTCTCCCCCGTCGTCGGTGGCCACTCTGTCCCCGAAGTCCACGCCCCCCCCCCCCCCCCCTCCCCCACCCCAAAAAAAACTTCGGTGGCCACTGCGGCCCCAGTGTCCACGTCTCTGCTCCTCCTTTCCTTAACCTTGCCGCACACCCATGAATGGCCTCCATGGTTCTCCGTCCTAGGGCTCTGGGGATCAACAAGCCCTTCCCCCAAGCACTACCGCCACTGGCGGCAACCATTGTCACCGCTCTGCCCCCCGCGTTGTTTGGGCACTGTGTGGCCATCCACTCTACCCATGAGTCACCTGTCACCGGCTCCTCTTGGGCGAGGCAGTATAGGCTCTCGTTCTCGGATTCAGACATGTCCTCTGATGAGCCTATGAGCCTCCGTCCCCTGCTCCGGTCAAGGGAAATGGAAAGGAACGAAGTCGCCGCTACATGCCTGCGCCGTCATCGCACCTGCCACCGTCAGGATGCAGGGAGCCATTGGCTTCATGGCAGATGTTCCCTCTTCGTTTAATGTCTGAAGCATTTCCTACCATGCACAAAATTTTGCTTATGTTGCCACACAGTTTGGGTGCACTATCAAATCCGTCCAGTATGACAATGGTCATGATTTCAACAACGCCACATCCTGATAGGAAGGGCCGAAATGTTGCCAGCATTGATGTGGCCCTTAACCCACCTCTGGCGCCCACCATCTGGTCGGATCTGCTGCTTCGGTTGACGTCTCGTCTCCGGCTGCTGTCAACAGCACCACGGCCACCTCTCCACCAATCACCTCTATGACGCCAGTTGCTCCCAGCAACTCACCAGTGGCACTGTCGTCGCGCGATCCTCTTCCTCCAATGGATGTCCTAGTTACTCCGCCTGTTAATGACCATGTCATGGACACTCGCGGCAAGCGGGGCTTCCATCTTCCAGTGCAACGGCTCAACCTCCATGCCATGACGCTCTCTCCCATTCAGAAGATGTATCATGGTGCTCTTGCCAATCCTAATTGGCGGGATGCTATGATTGAGGAGTTCCTTGCTCTGTAGCACAATGATACTTGGGATCTGGTTCTTTGCCCTCATGGTGCCAATGTGGTTACGGGCAAGTGGGTTTATCACCGCAAGTTCACCTCTTATGGCTCTCCTGATTGGTACAAGGAACGTTGGGTTTGTTTGGGGGTTTACTCAGTGCCTCAATATTGACTATGATGAGACTTCAGCCCAGTGGTTAAGCCAACGACTGTCAGAACGGTTCTTAACGTTGCATTATCTCATCAGTGGCCTATTCATTAGTTGGATGTGAAAAATGCTTTTCTTCATAGAACTCTGCAGGAGACCATGTATTATGAATAGACGTCTGGATTTCTCTACTCCACTCACCTCGGTTATGTCTGTCGCCCGAATAAGTCTCTTTATGGTTTGAAGAAGGCGCCCCGTGTGTGGTACAATCGGTTCGCCTCTCATATTCTCTCCATGGGGTTTGTTGGTGCCTTGTCTGACACTTGCCTTCTTGTCTATCGCCATGGTGCTGACACGGCATACCTACTGCTCTATGTCAATGATATTGTGCTCACTACTTCGTTTGAGTCTCTACTTTGTTGCATTATTGCTGCTTTGACCTAGGAGTTCTCGATGGAGAATCTTGTCCCTTTGCATCATTTCCTGGGAGTTTCTGTTGCCCATCGTGCTGGTGGACTTTTTCTCTCTCAGCAGCAGTATATGGTTGACATCCTTGCTCGGGCCGGTATGTCTGATTGCAAGCCTTGCACTACACTTGCCGACACTCATGCCAAAGTTTCCGGTGATGGTGCCCCAGTGTCTGATGGCATCGACTATATCGTGCTCTTGCTGGTGCTCTGCACTACCTTTCACCAAACCCAATATTGCCTATGCTGTCTAGCAGGTGTGTCTTCATATGCACAATCCGTGTGAGACTCATCTTGCTCTGATCAAGCAGATCCTCCAAAATATTCGTGGCACCATCGACTTTGGACTATATGCGGATCCAGTTTAGTCGAGTTTGACACTTTTCAGAATGCGGAATACTACGATCCAAGCAACGACCATGTTGGAATCGACGTCAATAACCTCGTCTCCACGGAATACACCAACACCACTTGGCCCAACACCCTGACGTCCAATTTCACCAAGATGGCCACTGTCAGCTACGACAATGTCACTCAGTTGCTAGATGTCCATGTCAAGATCGGCGATAAACTGTACAACGTCAGCATGTCAGTTGACCTGAGGAACTACCTGCCACAGTTTGTTGCCGTGGGCTTCTCAGCGGCGACTGGTGTGATAAGCGAGCTGAACGGCCAGAGCCAGATATTATCATGGTCATTCAGCTCCACTATGGAACCCAAGCAGCAAAAGCAACCCCAGAAGAATAGTACCATTCTGCTGGTCTCTGTGCTAGTGCCTCTTCTCTTTCTGTTGGCATGTGCAGCTGTGGGCAGAAACGAAGATCCGGAGGAAGCGGCGATAGCGACTATGAAGAGGAAGATGATAGGATCGAGCTGGAGAAAGGAGTGGCTGCTAGCGGCCCCAAGCGATACACATACCGCGAGCTGGCTGCCGCCACCAACAACTTCGCCGAGGATTACAAGCTTGGTCGTGGTGGCTTCGGAAGCGTCTACCGGGGTATGCTCGACGTTGCCGGCGAAGAGCGCCTGGTGCCGGTGGACATCAAGATGTTATCACCGGAGTCATCCGAGCAGGGGAGAAAGGAGTTCGAAGCAGAGGTGAGGATCATCAGCCGGCTCAAGCATCGCAACCTTGTGCAGCTCCTGGGCAGGTGCGATAGTCGTCGCAACGGCCTCCTGCTCGTCTACGAACTGGTGGCCAAAGGCAGCCTCGACAAGCATCTCCACAACAGCGAGAGCTTTCTGACGTGGCCACAAAGGTACCACATCATCCTTGGCATGGGATCCGCGCTGCGGTATCTCCATCAGGAGTGGGAGCAGTGCGTCGTGCACGGCGATATCAAACCCAGCAACATCATGCTGGATGATGAGTCCCTCAGCACCAGGCTCGGCGACTTTGGTCTGGCCAGGCTCGATGACCATGGCGCACGGTGGCACACCACCAAGGCCGTGATGGGCACGGCAGGGTACATCGACCCGGAGTTCGTCAACACGCACCACCCCAGCACCTACTCTGATACGTCTATAGCTTCGGCATCGTCCTCCTCGAGATCGTCTCCGGCCGGTGCCCCGTGATCCTGCTTGAAGGACGTGCGCACTTCGTCCTGGTCAAGTGGATGTGGGGTCTGTACGGCCGGAACGCGATCCTTGACGCGGCGGACAAGCGGCTGAGGGCCGCCGGCGACGAGGCTGATGACAGGTGCATGGAGAGGGTGCTCGTCGTCGGACTGTGGTGCGCGCATCCTGACCAGAGCGAGCAGCCGTCCATCGCGCAGGCCATGCATGTTCTGCAGTCTCGGAGGACGCCAGGCTTCCAGAGCTCACGCCTCAGATGTACAGGACGGTGTCTGAGTTCGCCGTCACTGGACGTGCTGTCGACGCATTGTCCGTTCAGAGCTCCTCTTCCACGACCACGATGACAACCGGCGGCCATTCCAAGCTCTCTGCCGAGTCGGCGTCCTCGGCCTTGCTCCGGGATTCAAAAGAGTTGGCTTGATTTACATCCAATGGCGACTGTGTGAGTTAATTATATATTGACTGTAAAATTACTTTTTTTCAGGTACATTCATCATTGTTGTACTTCTTGACTTATAAAAAACAAACATTTGTCGTAGTTCTTCACTTAAAGCAACCATCTTTGTAAAATGTGTTTTTAGTTTTTTTACATCAACACAGAGTATCATTACGGCGTTGTTTGGAAAGGCTTAAATTCTTGGAAAAGTCAGCTTTTCCTTACCTCCCAACGGAGGCTTCCATTTGAGTTAGCAATCTAATTAAGTTTTGACAATTTTTTTTTTGAATTTAAGTTTTGGCAATTAGGAGTCATGTTAGTGTCCTGTAAAATCCATGTATTTTTCCTTCAAAAAAAAATCCATGTATTTTAGAGGGGCCTTAAGAGCCTGTTTGGTTGCCACAGAATGGACCCCTGGAATTATTCCAACTATGAATGTTGTGCTAATAATTTATACTATATTTGATCACCTGGATTAAGGGTAAACGAACGAGCCCTTAAACTTGTTTCCCCTTCTTTCCTTCCTATAAATGGATTCTCATATATATATATATATATATTCATAATTTCGTCCATGGATGCAATCAAGCTACAATTCCTCCCTCGCGGCCTCTGGCAAGCAAAGCCATGGACCTCACAGTGGCCATCAGAGCCACCAAACTCCTAAGAAGCACTATTCCCGCAAAGTCCATCGAAAACATAAATCCTACCACGATAATCAGTGTCGTGTAACATTAAAATTACAATATATCTAGACATTACATATAACTAGATGTACAGTAAAACTACTTATATTTAGAACTCTTTACAATTTAGAACGGATGGGGTGATACTGTAAAATGCACTTGACCTTGATGAGCAAGCGAAACCGGAACAGCATCAGCTGCTCCCAGCTGACATATGAGATGACTTCACTTCTTCTCACCGTCGCTAATGATAACTCTCTCGTCCAGCATCTTCTCCAGCCGGGCGTTCCATGCCATCTCCTCCTCGACCTCCTTCCTCACGTCTTCCACCCTGTGCTCCAGCTGCCGGACGTACCCAAGCAACATCTCTCCACCTCCTCCCTTGGAGCTGGAGCTGTCACGCTCACACCACAGACGTCGACGACATCGAAGCAGCCGGCGGCGGTGCGTTCCAAAACGTGCGTCACCATGTCCCTTTGCACCTCCAGGCTCTGCAGGACGGCCATCAGCTGCCGAGTCACCACTTGCTGTTGCTCCTTAAACCCTATAGCCTCCGCCGCCTTCCCGTGATCTTGATCGCCATCCCCATGCGGCGGCGGCCGTCTATCTCCATCTCCGGTGGAGTCACTGTCGTCGTCCAGCTCCACAGGGTCCTGGAATGGAAAGCACCTCTTCTCCGCCCGCGCCGCCGGGTCCTCGGTCGTCGGATCGAACTCGAGGTTGTCCTCGTTGAAGTTCCAGCCGCTGATCCGTCGGTTCTTGACGCCGCCGCCGACGTCGTCGGCATGGCGTCGGCACGGCAACACGCAGCGTGCGGCGTCGCCCCTGGCGCCGCCGCCGACACTGTTAGATAAACCGATAAGCCTTTCCTATTTTTAGCTTTGCATGTTTATTTGGTGCATGCGCGCATGAACTCCGAGCTGTGGACGTCGTGCGCGCGTAGATAGGCCGTGGCCGAGAATAGCTCGCCACGAGCTCTGGCTCTCCGCCATTGGCGTCGTAGTGGGCGTAGGGATGGATGCGCATCACACGTCGTGTGAGAGGTGGCCGAGTGTTTTTGTATTCTTCTATTAATACTCAATCAGTTGCATCAGAAAAGCTGCCCGGTTTTGCAGCACCAAAATTCTTGTGTCCAACTGTGTTCGCGTAGTGTTCTTCCTCTGTTCGAGTTCATTGTCGTTTGACGCTCACCGCCGTCCAGAGACTAACAAGTGGTACCAGAGCTAGGTTATAGAAGGACCTCGTTGTCACCATGGCATCTCCGGTGCGTGGGCGTTCACCGTCCGACAGCGACAAGAAGCGTGAAGAGAAGAAGAAGGGCGCCACCAGCGGTTCCGGCAACAAGACTCCATCACGCTCGCCTCCACCAAGCCGTTCTCCACCCCGACGATCACGAACGCGCGACGCACGTCGCTCGCGCACCCGGGATGCACGCCGTCCCCGGGAAGTCGTCGTCGAGCGGATCATCAGGGAAGGCGGTTCTGGCAACTGGCCTCAACTCACCCGGAGCAACTACCACGAGTGGTCGCTCCGCATGAAACTCAAGCTGCAAGCTCGTCATCTCTGGGACGCCATCGAGTACGACGACGCCGACTACGATGACGACCGTAGCGCACTCGACGCGATCTGCAGTGGCGTACCGGCAGAGCTCGTTCCCATCCTTGTGGACAAGGGGTCCGCGAAGGACGCCTGGGAAGCCATCAAGTCACTGCGCATCGGCGATGAACGCGTGCGCAAGGCGACGGCGTAGGGCCTCCGCGCGGAGTATGAGTCAATCTCTCTCCGTGACGGCGAGGCCGTCGAAGACTTCGCTCTGCGCCTCTCCGGCATCGTCCAGCGACTCGCCACACTGGGAGACCCGGAGCCCGATCAGAAGGTCGTGGCGAAGTACCTGCGCGTCGTTCGTCCTCGCTACAAGCAGCTGGTAATTTCGATTGAAACCCTTCTCGACGTCTCCAAATTGTCATTAGAGGAGGTGACGGGAATGGTCAAGGCGGCCGACGACGTCGAGCCCGCGCCAGCGCACACGGCGAGCGAGAAACTGCTCCTCACGGAGGAGGAATGGGTCGAGAGGTACAAGAAGAAGGAGCAAGGCGGCTCCAGCTCCGGCGGCCGGGGTCGCGGCCGAGGCCGTGGCCGCGGACGCGGCGGCGGCGGCAGCGGCGACTCGCGGTCGGGCGGAAGCCGTCCGCCTCCTGCAGAGCCTTGCCCACGCTGCGGCAAAAAGGGCCATTGGGCCCGAGACTGTCGTCTCAAGAAGAAGGAGGAGCCGTCCCAGCAGGCCCATGTGGCCCAGCAGGAGGAGGAGACACTCATGGTCGCTATCGCCACAGCCCAGTACGAGGACTCACCTCAGCCGGCCGTGACGACCTCCCCCAAATCGCCGCCGCATCCATCCTCTCCGAGCGGCGAAATTCACCTCACCGAGAAGAAGGTGCTCACTTCCTTCGACTCCACCGCCGACAGGGATCCGAGCCGATGGATCCTGGACATGGGTGCATCCAGCCACATGACGGGCGCCCGCTCTACCTTCGCCAGCCTCGACACCGGCGTCACCGGGTCCGTACGGTTCGGCGACGGCTCCACCGCCCGCATCGAAGGCAGAGGCACCATTCTCCTCTCCTGCAAGAATGGGGAGCACCGGTCGCTGTCCGACGTCTACTACCTGCCCCGACTGACGGCGAACATCATCTCCGTCGGCCAGCTGGACGAGAGCAGCTACGAGGTGTTGGTGAAGGGCGGCGTCATGACCATCCGTGACGAGGAGATGCGCCTGCTCGCCAAGATCCCTCGCAGCCCAGGCCGCCTATACGTGCTCGACGTCACCATCGCACGACCGGTGTGCCTGGCAGCGCGAGCCGACGAGGATGCGTGGACTTGGCACGCCCGATTCGGGCATGTCAACTTCACCGCACTCCGCAAGATGGCGCGCGACAAGCTCGTCCGAGGTCTGCCTCTGCTCAACCAGGTGGAGCAGCTCTGCGACGCTTGCCTGGCTGGGAAGCAGCGGCGTGCACCGTTCCCGCAGAAGGCGCTCGGGCGCTCCACCGAGGTGCTCCAACTTCTCCACGGTGACCTCTGTGGACCGATCTCGCCGCCAACACCAAGTGGTAATCGCTACATACTGCTCCTAGTCGATGATTACTCTCGGTACATGTGGTGCGCCCTGTTGCCGTCCAAGGATGAGGCAGCAGCTGCCATCAAGCGGATCCAGGCAGCCGCTGAGAGGAAGACGGGCAAGAAGGTGCTCGCGCTCCGCACCGATCGAGGCGGCGAGTTCACGGCGGCAAACTTCACCGACTACTGCGCTCAGCTCGGGCTGCGTCGCGAGCTCACGACACCGCACACACCGCAACAGAATGGTGTCGTGGAGCGTCGCAACCAGTCCGTTGTGGGGACGGCGCGGTGCATGTTGAAGGCAAAGGGGCTCCCCCTGTGTTCTGGGGCGAGGCGGTCTCGACGGCCGTCTACCTCCTGAACCGATCTTCGTCGAAGAGCATCGGGGGCAAGACTCCCTATGAGCTCTGGACGGGGGGTGCGCCGGGCGTCCACCATCTCCGCACGTTCGGCAGCATCGCCCACGTCAAGGTAACTGCGCCTAATCCGAAGAAACTGGATGATCGAAGCAGGCGGATGATCTTCGTCGGATACGAGGCCGGGTCCAAGGCATACCGCGTCTACGACCCGTCCACCCGCCGAGTTCACATCAGTCGCGATGTCGTCTTTGACGAGAGCGCCCAGTGGGCGTGGCCTGCCGATCATGACGGAGGCGACGCCGACTTCACCATCGACGAACCCGCGGTGGACGCACCCTCTGTGGTCACCACCGAGGTGATCCACACTCCCTCGGCGGGCGCTGCTGCGGGCTCTGCATCTCCTTCCACGTCTGCGGCATCTCCGTCACCAGCAACTTTCCAGCGCACACCGACCCCGACACCAAGCTCGGCGCCGCACCAGGAGATCGAGTTCGTGTCGCCGCCCGGAGCGGATACCAGCGAGCTGCTGGACGCCGACCACGACGACGATGCGCCTCTTCGGTTTCGCCGCGTCGACAACATCCTTGGCGAGATCGAGTCGCCCGAGCTCGCTGTACGCGATCTGGAGGAGCGGCTGCTGCTGGCGAGCGACGCCGAGCCGACGTCCTTCGATGAAGCAGCTAAGCACGAGTGCTGGCGCAACGCAATGCTGGACGAGATGACGTCCATTGAGGCGAATGGCACCTGGGAGCTCGTCGACGCTCCCCCACGCACGAAGCCGATAGGCCTGAAGTGGGTCTTCAAGACCAAGAAGGACGCCACGGGCGTGATCACCAAGCACAAGGCCCGCCTCGTCGCAAAGGGCTACGTGCAACAGCAGGGCGTCGACTTCGACGAAGTCTTCGCACCGGTGGCCCGACTTGAGTCCGTGAGGTTGCTGCTCGCCTATGCCGCCTCCGAAGGCTGGGCAGTGCACCACATGGACGTAAAGTCCGCGTTTCTGAACGGCGAACTCCAAGAACAAGTCTACGTCGAGCAGCCGCCGGGGTTCGTCCTGCGCGGCCACGAGAACAAGATTCTGCTACTAGTGAAGGCGCTGTACGGTCTGCGACAAGCACCTCGCGCCTGGTACGCCAAGCTCGACTCCTCCCTGATCGAGCTGGGCTTCCAGCGGAGCACCTCCGAGCACGCCGTGTACCTGTGCGGAGTGGGTGATCACCGGCTCGTTGTCGGAGTCTACGTAGATGACCTGGTGATCACCGGACCCAACGGCGATGACATCGCCACGTTCAAGGAGGAGATGAAGGCAAAGTTCCAGATGAGTGACCTCGGCCTCCTTCACTACTATCTGGGGTTGGAGGTTACCCAGAGTGAGGCCGGGATCACCATCTGCCAAGGGGCGTATGCAGCGAAGATCTTGGAAACAGCCGGGCTCACTGGCTGCAATGCAAGCCACACTCCCATGGAGCCCCGCTTGAAGCTCAGCAAGCAGAGTACGGCTCCAGCAGTTGATCCAACCAAGTACCGCAGCATCGTCGGCTCTCTGCGCTACTTGGTGAACTCCCGGCCAGACCTTGCCTACTTGGTGGGGTATGTCAGCCGATTCATGGAGAATCCCACCACCGAGCATCTTGCTGCTGTCAAGAGGGTGCTCACGTACGTTGCAGGCACTCTGCAATTCGGTTGCTGTTACAGAAGGAAGAAAGGAGCTCAGCTTGTCGGGTACAGCGACAGCGACCTGGCAGGCGACGTCGACACCCGCAAGAGCACGACCGGAGTCGTCTTCTTCCTCGGCGGCAACCTGGTCACTTGGCAAGCGCAGAAGCAGCGTGTTGTGGCTCTGTCATCGTGCGAAGCAGAGTACATAGCCGCCGCCACAGCTGCCTGCCAAGGTGTCTGGCTCACTCGTCTCCTAGCAGAAATCAAGGGAAAGGAGGCAGGAGTTTTCGCACTCAAGATCGACAACCAGTCCGCCGTCGCGCTCAGCCGGAATCCTGTGTTCCACGATCGAAGTAAGCATATTGATGTCAAATACCATTATATCCGCGAGTGCGTCGAGGAGAACAGGGTTCAGGTTCAGTCCATTGGGACGTTGGAGCAGCTAGCGGACATCTGCACCAAGGCTCTGGGGCGCGAACGATTCTGTGAGCTGCGCTCTAAACTTGGTGTTCGTCATGTAGGCAAGGCTTAGGAGGAGAATTGTTAGATAAACCGATAAGCCTTTCCTATTTTTAGCTTTGCATGTTTATTTGGTGCATGCGCGCATGAACTCCGAGCTGTGGACGTCGTGCGCGCGTAGATAGGCCGTGGCCGAGAATAGCTCGCCACGAGCTCTGGCTCTCCGCCATTGGCGTCGTAGTGGGCGTAGGGATGGATGCGCATCACACGTCGTGTGAGAGGTGGCCGAGTGTTTTTGTATTCTTCTATTAATACTCAATCAGTTGCATCAGAAAAGCTGCCGGTTTTGCAGCACCAAAATTCTTGTGTCCAACTGTGTTCGCGTAGTGTTCTTCCTCTGTTCGAGTTCATTGTCGTTTGACGCTCACCGCCGTCCAGAGACTAACAGACACACCCGCAGAGATCATTCCCCGCGTCGTCGTCGTCCTTGCTGCACCGCTCCTCGATGCTCGGGACGGCGGCGAGGACGTTGCGGACGAGGAAGTCCCTGGAGCGACGGCCGGATGCCTTGAAGAGCGGGTGGCGGAGGAGCTTCTCCGCCGACGGCCGCTTGGCCGGCTCCTGGCAGAGGCAGGAGGACACCATGTCCTTGAACGCCCGGGAGAACTTGTTCTTGCTCTTGCTACTCACGGCGGCGGTCTGCTCCTCGAGCCGGACGCGGCTGGTGATCCTCATCAGCATCGACTTGGACGGCGGCAGGTGCGACAGCGGCGGGCGGCCGTGCGCGAGCTCCAGCGCCGTGATGCCGAACGACCAGATGTCGGCCTTGATGCCGTACCCGACGTGGGAGTGGATCACCTCGGGTGCCATCCAGTACGGCGTCCCCGCCACGTCGTTGAAGCAGCAGGACGCCGACGAGCCGATCCCCAGCGCCGCCGCGTTCGCCGCCGACGCCGACGCGTTGATGCCCATGGTCTCGTAGATGGACGCCGAGACGCCGAAGTCGGCGAGCTTGACGGCGCCGTCCGAGTCCACCAGGATGTTGCCCGCCTTGATGTCGCGGTGGATGCGGCCCTCCCGTGGAGGTAGCACAGCGCGCGGAGCGTCTCGGCGAGCACGACGGCGACGCACGGCTCCGGCAGGCCGCCGGGGAACCCGTGGGACAGGATGGAGTGCAGTGAGCCGGCGCCCATGAAGGGCATCACCACCCACAGGTGGCTCCCGACGGTGAAGGAGCAGTGCGCGCGGAGCACGTTGCGGTGGGACAGCAGCGCCATGGCCTTGGCCTCCCGCCGCACGCCGTCGAGGTTGGCGCGCGACCGCTCCAGGTCGATCGCCTTGATGGCCACCACCGCCGACGCCGACGAGCCCAGAGGCAGGCACACGGCCTTGTACACCACCGCGTTCACGCCGCTCCCGATCTTGCACAGCAGGCGGTACGACTCGGCGTTCAGCGGGTACCTCGCTTCTCCTTCGTTGCCGCCGCTAGAAGCATTGTTGGCCGGCGCCATAGCTGACGGCGCGGTGGCGGCCGGATCAAATAGGCCTGCTGCACGTAGCATTTGTCGATCAGTTTGTTGTAATCACTGCCGGAGACCGGCCAGTTGCCGAGTGTCAGGTGGTTTGCCGAGTGTTCTTTTTTGGGCACTCGGTAAATACTCTTTTGCCGAGTGTTTTTTTCGACACTCGGCAAAGAGCTTATTTGCCGAGTGTTTTTTTTATACTCGGCAAAGAAGCTCTTTGCCGAGTGTTATTTTTTTTTTTGACATTTGGCAAAGAAAATTTCAAAGCACATTTTGAAGCAGTAAATTAATTTAAATGAAAAAGTTTTCAACTACAAAGTTATATAACTCATCAAGATGTACAATATTTGTTTTGGTCTTTTCTTCATACGATAAAGTGAAAATAAATTTGTTCACAAATCTAACATATCTCTTTTGTAGTTTATGAAACTACAATAGAGATATATAAGATTTGTGAATAATGTTAGAACGACCATGTCGGATGAACAGATGGCAAAACAACCAAAATAAACTTTGTAGATCTCGAAAAGTTATGAAGCTTTGTAATTGGCAACTTTTTGATTTGAAAACATCTTGTCATGCAAAACTGCGTTTGAATTTCAAAATTTTAAAATTCGAACTTTTCAAACGACCTCGGATGAAAAAACAACCAAAATAAACTCTGTAGATCTCGAAAAGTTACGAAACATTGTAGTTGACAACTTTTTGATTTGAAAACATCTTGTCATGCAAAACTGTGTTTGAATTTCAAAATTTTAAAATTCAAATTTTGTAAACGACCTCGGATGGAAAAACTTCCTAAACTAAAAGTGTAGATCTCGAAAAGTTATGAAACTTTGTAGTTTACAACTTTTTGATTTGAAAACATCTTGTCATGCAAAACTGTGTTTGAATTTCAAAATTTTAAAATTCAAATTTTGTAAACAACCTCGGATGGAAAAACTTCCTAAACTAAAAGTGTAGATCTCGAAAAGTTATGAAACTTTGTAGTTTACAACTTTTTTATTTGAATTCGTTTAGGGCCTCAAACATGCAATTTACACTCGATTTAATATAATATATTAGGAACTAAAACGGAATCCAGACACAAGTGAGAGTGTGGTGTAGTGGTAGAGGAGGTACGTGCACAGCGAGAGGTCTCGGGTTCGAATCACGTCGGTCGCGTAGCCATGAAATTCACGCGAAAATGTCGTAGATGGGTGGGCGCTGGCCGGTGTGGGCCTCCATCGATAAAAAAAAATCCATTTTTTTTTGGTAAAAATTCCAATTTTTTCGGGTTTTTTTCGGTTTCAACTTTGCCGAGTGTTGGGCACTCGGCAAAGGCTTTGCCGAGTGCCCGATAAAAAACACTCGGCAAAGTTGGCTTTGCCGTCACTTTTTTTGGCGAGTGTTGTTCGCCGAGTGTTACACTCGGCGAACCATTTGTCGAGTGTTTTAGGTGGTTTGCCGAGTGTTTCGGACACTCGGCAAATTCAAGCAGTCCGGTACTGAATATGTGGTGTGGCACATCACAAAGTGAGAGGAGTATATATATACTACATACATATACCTACTACATTTCTCTTTTAAAAGAGTCATCAACTAATCTCAAATTTAACAAAGTATATACAAATATTGCTATTATTTATGAGATTGGAATAATATTATTAAATTCGTCTTGCAATATATTTGTATAGTAAGTATGTTTAAAAATATAAATGATGATATTATTTCTTTTGTAAATATAGTTTTTTGCGAATTACACGAATACTTTTTTTTGTGAATCGAATTACACGAATACTGACGCAAACACCTACAACACACACGCAAACTCCTTTGAGCACATCTAAAAGACTATGCCGGTAGAAAAATCGAGCACCCGTGCGAGTCGATGACTTAAACATTGTGGACAGGTTACACCAAAATGAACCTAACCAACCGGAAGCTAGGCTCAATTTGTTTGTAAATATAGTTAAACCGGTGATTGATTGGCTCATTTGGAAAACCAATATATAAAATGCAATATATTTTTATAATAAATCTATTAGACATAAATGATGATATTGGTTTTCTATAAATATAGATTTAATATCGATTGATTGTTCCTCGTTAAAAGGGACATGTGCTCTTTCTGAGACAAGGGTTTTGATAAATGTATGGCCGAAAAAGAGAAGCATGCATATGATTAGAGTAAAGTGTTTGGATCTGGGGACTAAAATTTAGTAAGTGTCATATCGAATGTTCAGATGCTAATTAAAAGTACTAAACATGAGTTAATTATAAACAAATTGCAGAAGTTGTGGCTAATTCGAGAGACGAATATATTAAGCCTAATTAATCCCTTATTAGCACATGTTATTGTAGCACCACATTGTGAAATAATGGACTAATTAGGCTTAATAATAGATTCTTCTCGCAAGTTAGTCTCAATCTATACAATTAGTTTTGTAATTAGTCTATATTTAATACTCACTCCAGGTTGCTAAAAGAAGTCGTTTTGGGCAGCGACACGGTCTCCAAAGCATAATTTTGACTTCTTATTTTGTAAAACATTTATTAAAAAGTGATATCGTATATTTTTATGAAAGTAGTTTTGAAGACAAATCTATTTACGTGGTTTTCACAATTTTCAAACTCAACAACTTAAAAGTTATTCATAATTTATAATTCCAATTTTAACCAAAACCTTGTCAAAACGACTTTCTTTACCAACCTCTGAGGAGTGTAAATTAGTATCCAAACATCTGATGTGAAAGGGACTAAATTTTAGGAGGTGCAACAACTTCAGGTTGATGTGTGAGATGTAATTAACGTGGTCTCGCAGCCGAATAATTAAGGTGCATGTGAAGGTAGGGGGAAGACAAAAGGGAAAAGAAAAGAAGAGGACGTGGCCACAACTTTGGGTAGTATTGTGTTGTTGTCACGACCGAAGTAGCTGGGTTTCTCGTGAAGCTATTCAGTATCTCTGCTTTAAGGTAGAGGTTCTTGTCTGATCGTGGGTGACTCTTCACCCTGTTCACCAATGATCGCCCATGAACAGGCAACGAAAGGGTTGTTGGGTTTGAAGATCACATTAGGCCCCAGCAAATGATCACCCTGTTCCTTATTTGTTTGACCTAAGTCGTTAGAACATCATAAAATTCAACGGTCACTTCTTTTTATTTTCTTCGATTAACATGCTAATTAATTTCTTGGTCCTCTAGGTTGCATGTGGTGACGGTTTTCTTAAAACCGATGTAGTAAGATACTAGGTGAATATATAGTTTCCTCAAAAGAGATACTTGATAAATAAATATTGGTATCCAATATCAATCAAATACAAATATATTTATGTTTCTTTAATAGAATGTGACCATCGAAAAAATATAGTTATCATTTTCACAAAAAGACAAATAATATGGGAGATGGGTGTGTGACGTGTGTCCTTGCCCCTCTTTGAAAGCCAATTGTCTTTTTTTTTTGATAGCCCTGAGGCAAGCGTTATTGATTGAAAATAGTTACATCGACCGATAATAAATGAAGAATAAAACTAGGGATCATCGTCCCAGATACAATTTGTTCTAGAAATCATAGCTTGCCTAGCTAGCTCATGTGCCACTTTGTTTGCTTCCCTATTTAAGTGCTCAATGGAAATCTCTTGGAATCCATTCCAGATTATGATTGTACCCTTGTTTCTTAATCCAAACCCACCATCCACCCTTGTTCTAGACTTTGTTAGCTAAAGGCAAAATAAATGAATGAAAGAAAAATAAAAGATGCTATTAACCCCAAATCATGTCATGCAAATTGTTAAAAAAATTTCTTAAATTTTAAATATTTGCAAATTTTCTTATAAAATTCTTCAAAATACAATCCAAATAGTTAATGTCAAAATAGAGGTTAAAATAATAAAGTTCTAGAAATCAAGGCGCAACTCACATGGAAAAATTAGTCTTTCTTACGTAAACTAACACATTAACTCCTCCAAACGAAAGTGCTGGGCTAAGGAAAACTCTTAAGTGAATACCAAGTGAGAAATTAATCCATAGTGTCAAAAACTACACACCATATGCTCTTGGAAAATAGAGAAAAATATCTAGAAAATTTTTGAAGATCATCTAAAACATTCTAATCCATGTGTAAACGTGCGACAACAATATATGATGCAACCAACATGGATGCAACATTCATTAGTATTAAATGCATTTTTCTATGCATTCATGCAGGTTGTGTCTTACATTTTTTGTTGTTATCTTTTAAAATTTGTTTATACATCAACTAGAATGTTTTAGGACAATTCTAGATTTTTCTAAACATTTTCCTTAATTTTTGAGAGCTGAATAATTTTTGGAAGTTTCTAGAGATATTTTTTGTGATCTCAAAGTATTTCATTTGGATTATCTATATGTCAATATTTAGGATTTTTTTTTAAAAAGTTTAGCATTTTCTACTGTTTAAAAATCTTTTTCAAATGTTTACTAGATTGTTTTAACTGAAAAGATAAATGTTCCTTTAAAACTCCTTGGAACCAAGACAGAGAGGCAATTTGAATGATTTGAGAATTCAAATCTAATTTCAGAGTTTGATGAAAAATTTTGGACTCCCATGTGATAGTTTAGACTTTTTTTTTGTGTGTGTGTGGCTCACGTTCATTTGTCCATTCAGGCCCACAAGCCCCAACCATCAGTCCATCAAGGCCCATTCAGCCCATGAAATCAACACTTCTTTGTCCCTTCTTCTCCCATTCGTAAATTTCGTCCACCGACATGGATGCGAATGCCACCGACGATTCCGCCCCGCCGGCCAGGTGAGATGAGCCTCATGGCGGCCTTCGCGCCGCCAAAATCCTCGCACTCTTCCCTAAAGTGCGGCGAGCTAGTCCGCCGTGGCCGCCTCGGCCTCGGCATCCGGGATCCGCGGCGGGGGCCGTGAAGTGTAGGAAAGGCGTCGGCGCCGCCGTGGTGCGTGTACCTTATAGCCTCCTCCGGATCCCCGCACCTACATCAGGCGTCACCACCGACTTCCCTCGC